CCCTCTGAGGTCCACATCTGTTCGTGCTGCTATGACCCTGGATCTGTTTTGTTCATCAGTTTATTTTGTTCATTAGATTCCACAGACGCGTGAGATCATATTGTCCCTGTGGTCTCTGCCACCGTTCCCACCCTCTCCGTGTCCTTTGCACCGGGCTCCCTCCTCTCCCCTTAGGAGGAGCCACGTGACACCCTCTCTTTGGGAGTCCTGGTGGGGCCTTCCTCCTGGGGCCTGGCAGCTTCTCCCTTAACCCCGCAACTCAGCACCCCTCCCTCCAAGGCACAGGGACCCCAAGTCAGGTCACCTGCAGAGGAAGCCGTCAAATCGGCCTCAGAAGCAAGAAAAAGACAGACATCAGGGCATGGGCCTGTCCCCCGGCTGGGGCACTTTCCAGGCCGCCGTCTGCCAGGTCTGTGGGATGGAGAAGCAGTGGGCATCTGGGCCACAGGCCTCGGCCCCATCCCAGGGACCTGAGAGGTGGCAGCGGGGCTGTCTGGAGAGGGCCATAAGCTGGCAGGCCAGGCTGCAGGCTTGCCTGGTTCCCTGGGGCGCCCTCTAGGTGCTTCTGGAAGGTTAGGAAGCCTCTGGGGAGGGGTGTCCTCCCTTGCCGGGGCCCTGCTGTGTGGGAGGCTGAGCTGCCTCCAGGGGGTCGCTCTGGGCGTTTGGGTGGGACTTGAGGGTGCGGCAGGACCGCCCCTGACCTCTGCGCACCCTTCGTCCTTGCAGGACCTGGGCATGGAGTCGACCTCGCTGGACGACGTGCTGTACCGCTACGCCAGCTTCCGGAACCTGGTGGACCCCATCACCCACGACCTCATCATCAGCCTGGCTCGCTACATCCACTGCCCCAAGCCAGTAGGCGGCTGTGTCTAAACCAGCTGGGTCCGGGGGTGGGGGTGAGGTGGCATCTTTCTGGGCAGAGCAGCTCCGTGCCCAACAAGGGCTGGTGGGTATACCCAGACCCAAGGAGGACAGGCCCCCACGTGCAGACACCAGGAGGGCAGAGGTGGGCCTGAGGGCCTGGCGGTCCTGAAGCCCGGCGTCCACGGCTGAGGCCGCACCTTGGCACCGGCAGCACAAGTTTTGTTTGGCCATAGGGTATTAAATCTGGATTTATTGCCAAAGTTTAAAAATTCAAGTATTTCTCACAATCCCTATGTTCAGCTGCCCTTGAAAATGGGGAGCTCCAGCAGCACGAAGCCCGCGATTCGATGAGCAGCCACCCACGATGGGCCAGGGCCCCCTGTTCCGTTGGCGGCGGTGGCAGCGGCTGTGCCCGGCACAGACTGCAGGCACAGAGGTGGCAGGAGACAGTGCTGACCCCGCCCTCTCTTCGCCCCCAAGCCGTGGACACTGGTGCAGACTGTCCACCGAGGGGGACTTTTTCTTGTTTGTACAGAGGTGCCGCCTAATCTGGTGGTGGCCCTGCATGGCCTCAGGCCCCACCCCAGGTGCCCTCCTCCTGAGCTGAGTGTCATTTTACACCCCCCGCCCTCCTCATGCCCGCTCATGCCCTGCAGGCGCTGCTCAGCCCCTTCTGGGTGGGAGGGTTTGTCCCTCTTCCTGCTGGGGCACTGGGCGGCTCACACAGACCTGCCCACAGGACCTGGGCCAAGGGTGGGGGTGGGGGATGCACACTCCATGCCTTGGCTTGTCTCTTGTCTCAGTTCCTTCTCTTCCATCCCCCACTTCCAGCAGCTTCCAAAAGAAGCACTTTCGCTGTGGCAGGGATGGAAGTCGTCATGCAGCCTGTGCTGTGATTTAAATAAAACCAGACTCCTCCCCTGGCCCTGCCCCCTCCATCTGCCAACTCTGCTCCAGCCCTGGGCCCCCCTCGGCACACCCCCACCCCACCCCGCGCCCAGATCCCCTCCTATCTGAGGAGCTTGGCTGCCACCCTGACCTCTCCTGCTGCCTGTCTCACATTCCCTCCTCCAGACTCTGGTGGGGCCTTCCTCCTGGGGCCTGGCAGCTTCTCCCTTCACCCCACAACCGAACCCCTCCCTCCAAGGCAAAGGGACCCCGAGCTCAGCTCACCCACAGAGGAAGCAGTAAAAATGGCCTCAGAAGCAGGAAAAAGGCAAATCAGGGCATTGTCCTGTCTCCGGCTGGGGCATCTCCCGGCGCCGTCGGCTCGGTCTGTGGGATGGAGAAGCAGCCGGCGCCTGGCCCACAGGTTGCCCCTCAGAGACCTTTGATCGGCCTGCCGCTCCCTGGTCTACGGAGCAGCCCCGTCTCACGCCCTGTTCATCTCCTCGCTTCTTTTTTTCATTTCACTCGCTGGTCTCCAAAATTATCTTGCTTTTTTTGGTTAGTTAATGTAGCGTCTGCTTTCCCCACGAGAACACAAACTCCACAAGGGGCAAGAGACAGCTCTGCCCGTCGCGGTCACGTCTGCACCAAGAGGAGCCGGCGTGAAGCAGGAGACCCTGCCCATTGGGAACTTGTAAGAGAGATTATTAGGGGGCGGGGCAGGATAGCGGAAATGAACGGGACATTGAGGCCCCAAAGACCAGCAGCAGGAGGTCATTGCCGGGCCCGGTGGAAGCTGTATTGTTGCTGAAGCCAGATGAGAATGCCTCTTCCAGACCCGGGTGTGTGCTATTGCTGCCTAACAAATCGCCCGTGGCTTAGGGCTTACAACGCAGACACTGCTGTCCAGGCTCTGTGGGGCAGGCACCCCAGCAGCTCAGCTGGCTGGTCCTGGCTTAGAGTCTCCAGACACTGGCCAAGGCTGAGTATCTGGAGGCTTGACAGAGGTGGGCCCCGGTCCCCAGGGTGGGGCGTCGGTGGTGGTTGGCAGGAGGCCTGGGTGCCTTGCCGCGGGGCCTCTCCATAGGCGCCCCTGAGTGTCCCCAGGGCATAGCAGGGGCTCCACCCAGAGCGGCGGCCCAGGAGAAAGCGAGGCAGACGCACAGTACCCTTTATGACCTAGCTGCCATCGCTGCCATGTTCTGCTGATTGCCCAGGTCAGCCCTGAGACAGTGAGGACGGAGACCGGACGAGGTCACAGGAGTGCAGAACCCCCAGGGCTGTTCTGGAGGCTGACGCATGTGGGGAGTGAAAGAGAAACTCCTGACCGCTCCTGCTGCCCCCTGACCTCTCCCCCAGGCTCCGGTTCATTTCATGCAGCTGGGAGCCCTGGGCCAGAGGGCTGGGTGATGCCCAGCCTTCAGAGCACACGGAAGGACAGGGAATGGACTGGGGAGAGGGAGCAAACAGGAAACCCAGCACAGGGTCTCCAGCTTGATATTTGATGAATGAATGAATTTATGAATGGATGTAGACGCTTTGGGCATAACTCAGTGAAGAGCTCTGTGTGTTTGCCTGGGGGCAGGGTGTCCAGGTGGGTGTTGCTGTCTGACAGTGGAGCCATGGGGCCTTGTCCGAGCACTGGGGCCCTCCCGGAGGGGGTGCAGGAATACCCTGAATAGCATTCCCGACAGGTCAGAGTCCCTCAAACATTCTTCTCCAGGGCCCCCAGTCCCCACCCCCCTGCGGTGCCGACTCACCCCTGACTTGCCCCAGCCCCTCTCCTGCCTTCTTCCTTGGAGCTTCCAGTGTGGCTAGGACTCACCTGCAAGTACCTGAAGCCCACCCGGCTGCCTCAAGCTCGGGAGAGGATTTACCCTGACACTGCGGGGCCTTGTGGGGGCTAAAGGCAGCCAAGCTTGAAGGAGGGACTAGAGCTACAAACAGTGCTGACTTCTCCCCTCTGCTACCTCCCAGACCAACCCTCTCTTCCCTGGCTCTTTCCCAGGACATGGGGCCAAGCCCATGGGTTCTGATTCACACCTCTGTCCAGCCCTGAGGAGTCAGGATCCAGGGAAAGGGCTGATTGGCTGGGCTCTGCCAGAGCCCGCTTCTGGGCCAATCAGCTGTAGCTTGGGCGTGGCATGTGGTTGCAGAAGGGCAGTCTCCAGCCTGGGCGCGCAGGGCACAGGGATCTCTGATGCATAATATGTGCTGCTCACTGTCCGAGCCCTAGGTTACACAGCGGGTGGGAGCTGCTCTGCACCTGAGAGGCATTTGAGCCCCCTCCCCGCCCAAGAAAAACCAACACAGCACTTTCTCCTTCTTTCCCTCCTCCCTCCTCATCCATCCCTCCTTCCCCCACCTCAGGCTCTGGCTCCACCTCTGGGGCAGTCCTGCTTTGTCCTGTTCTCCACTGGAGGAAGGTCTGGAGGGGGCTGTCGAAAAGCAATGGAGTGAAGGGAAATTAGAGGGGGCTGCTTCAGTCTTTTCTGGGTGCAAATGAAGGAAACGCCTCTCCAGGAGGGCATTGCAAAGCACAGGGCCTGCTGGCAGCTGGGAGCCCAGCTCAGAGCCTGCGAGGTCTGGAGGTCTGGGTCCCGACTCCATCTCACACATGGTGTGGCTTGCCAGTCTGTCCACCTTCTTGATGCCCCAGGGTCCTCATTTGCAAAGTGGAGATACTAGAAGCCCTTTTCCTAGGACTGTTGTGAGCTACAGCGGTGTGATGAGTTCACGCAGGCAATGTAGAGGCAATGCCTGGCATGCAGTGTTAGATGCTCAAGAAATGCTAGCTGTTGTTTCTGTAGTCCCGACAAGTTTGTTTAGCCCAGACTTCTGTGGGGACATAGCTTACCTTTGTCTCTAGTCGCTCAGTTAGGTGACTGTGTCTGCTGTCCCCACTGAGTGGAACAGGAACCCTCCTCCAGTCTCCCAGGTCAGCAGCCGGGGCCTCGCCCTGCGCACAGCTGCCCCCTTGTGGCCGCGCCGCGTACTGGCGCTGCTTTGTCTCCTGTCTCCCTCCTGTCAGGGCCCAGTTGTCCTGATTTTGGAATCCTTGGGAAATGGTTGGAGGAGGAGCTGGAGCGGAGGGGCTTGGTTCTCAGCTCTGATTTTATAGAGAAAAAGAGCGAAATATCGATTTGTTGTTCCACTTATTTATGCATTCACCGGTTGGTTCTCGTATGTGCCCTGACCGGGGATCGAACCCACAACCTTGGTGTATGGGGATGATTCTCTAACCAACTCAGTTACCCAACCAGGGCCGGTTCTCAGCTTTGGAGCCGGCGTTGGGAGACTGGCAACACTCTGTCCCGGGGTCCAGGAGAGACGCCGGGCAGACCTTCTTGCCTGAAACAGTGCTCTCCACCTCGGCAGCACATGGGGATCACCTGGGGAGCTTTTAAAAACCCCACAACTGAACTGCCCACCCGTTGTTGGGGCTGCCCTGGTGACCCCAGGGTATGAGAGTCCTCGGAAAATAACTGGGGCTCTAGAGCACCATATCCGTTGTCCCCTCCCTTCTCCCTTTGGCCCCCAAGTTCGCCTTCACCTCCACAACTGAACTGCTCACCCGTTGTTGGCTGCCCTGGTGACCCCAGGGTACGAGAGTCCTCGGAAAAGAACTGGGGCTCTAGAGCACCATATCCGTTGTTCCCTTCCTTCTCCCTTTGGCCCCCAAGTTCGCCTTCACCATGCCGCCCCTCCTGGAGCCTTCGCTGGCCAAGGCCTCCTCGCCGACCTTCTCCGGTGCCCGTGGCTCCCCTCTTGCTTCTCTGACTGGCCTTCTCCGTCCCTCCGTGTCCAGTATGTCTCTGCCCCTTTGATGCTGCAGCTGTTCCCCCTGCCTTCCCCTCGGCTCATTTTCTGGCCAGGGGCTTTCGCCAGATGCCGATGGACGTGTCCAGCCTGGACCTGTCTTGGGCCCAGCCCCCTAAGTTCATCACATCTCCCAGCAGGAAACGAGCCGGGCATTCCCGTCCTGCTTTCACCTGGTTCTTATCCAGAGCCTCTTGCCTTCTACCACGGTCCCAAGGCCAAAGCCAAGACCCCTCCTCGCCCTCCCTGCCCATCCCCTCCATCCTGTGCATGGCCAGTCCAGTGTGGTGGCCTCTGTCACTTTCAGCCATTTCCATGGGCCCAGCAGGGGTCCCCAAACCACACATACGCAGATGGCCCGGCCCTGAGTCACCCTGTCTGCCTCCAGTCCACCCCTTTCTCCGTCCCCCGTCAGAGGGACAGTCCTAGAATGCGAATGTGGCACTGTCTGCCCCTGCAGGGATTCCTCGGGTCCCCAAGGTGGAGCCCTGCCTGCTGCAGCACCATTACTTCCCAACACCCCCCCTATGTCCAGACTCAGCAAGAAACGAAGTCTAGGAACCTGGGGGTTGTGAATGCATTTGCCCGGAGTGACAGGTGACATCTGTTTCTCTCACAGGCAGCCTTAGGCCCTCGGAAGAGGTGAAGTTGTGGAGAACCAGAGACCAGAGGTTTCCTTTAAACCAGTTTCATTCCGCCTCGGGCCTGCCTCCGTCTGCTGATTCCTGTACACATGTTCATCTCTTCGGACACTCAGCTCCCCTCCTCCAACTCCTCTGTCTCTTGTCTCCCTCCCTCAGCCTCCTTCTCTTGCCTTTTCATCAGCCTTGGCCCTCTGAGCCCCAGCTTCCTCCTCTGTGAAATGGGGATAATGAAAGCATTTACGACACCAGGGTGTTGTGGGAATTCCATAAGGCCCTAGCTCAGTGGTCCTCAACCTTCCTGATGCCGCGACCCTTTAATACCGTTCCTCATGCTGTGGTGACCCCCAACCATGAAATTATTTTCGTTGCTACTTCATAACTGTAATGTTGCTACTGTTATGATTCATCATGTAAATATCTGATATGCAGGATGTCTTTTCATTGTTACAAATTGAACATAACTAAAGCATAGTGATTAATCACAAAAAACCATATGTAATTATGTATGTTTTCCGATGGTCTTAGGCGACCCCTGTGAAAGGGTCGTTCGGCCCCCAAAGGGGTCGCGACTCACAGGCTGAGAACCGCTGCCCTAGTGCAATGTCTGTGTGCACTAATCCAGGTTGCAGACAATAGTGGCTTGGGCCAAGGTGGTAGCCGCGGAAGTGGCAAGAAATCAGGCTCCAGATTGTCACCTGTCCCCACGCCTGTAACACCCTCCACACCCCCTAGCCCTGGGCAAGTGTTGTCACTAATCCATCTGCTCTTAAAAGCCAGCTCAAACCTGAGCCTGGGCAGAAGTACCTTTCCTTCTTTACCCTGCCCAAGTTCTGTGTTTGTGCCAATTTTACAATACAGCACAGTATACAGCACCATATTTTTAAAATTTTTTGTTAATCCAAACCCAAGGATATTTTTTCCATTGGTTTTTAGAGAGAGTAGATGGGAGGGAGGAGGAAGAGGGAGAGAAACATCCATGTGAGAGACAGACACATCGATTGGTTGCCTCCTTCATGCTCCCCAACAGGAACCGGGGATTGAACCTGCAACCCATGTATGTGCCCTTGACAGGGAATCAAACCTGTGACCCTTCAGTCTGAGAGTTGACTACGGAGCACCCGGCCAGGGTTACCCCACAGTATTGATTCAGCGAGCATTCCTGGAGAGCATACTGTGTGCCCAGCTACATTCAGAGCACTTTACAAGTAGAAACTCATTTCATCCCCTGTGAGGTTGGTACTATTATTCCTGTACAGGTGAGGATCAGAGGCACAGAGGTCAAGGGATTTTCCCAAGGTCACATAGGAGATGACAAAGCAAGGATTTGAATCCACACTTTGGTACCAAGTTCATTCTCTTAATGACTCAATGTGCTGCTCCTCTGTTAGCAGAGTGAGGATGATCTATACTAATAGAAGGGTAATATGCTAATTAGGGTGGACGTCTTCCAGATGTCCATCTGGACAAAGCCACAGCAGCTGCAAGGCCTGGGGCTCAGGCAGCCGTGAGCCCAGGCAGCTGCGAGGTCCGGGGCTCAGGCCTCGCAGCCGCCACGTCCAGCATTGGCAACAGCAGCAGGGTGATGGGGGTGGTGCCTTCCCCTGATCAGCCCGGTTGTCTCCCACACAGGGAGGCCTAAGCCATCAGTAGCAAATCCCCTGAGGGCTCCTGGACTGTGAGAGGGGGCAGGCTGGGCTGAGGGACGCCACCCCCCACCCCCAGTGCACGAGTTTTCGTGCACCGGGCCCCTAGTAATGATAATAAGAACCAAGCTGGCTTTTACCAAGGGCTCACTCTGCCGGGCGCACTGCTGAGCCCTGGACCTCGGTTACCAGCTACACCTCCCCACACCCACATTGCTGTCACAGGTGGGTCTCATCCCAGCCCTGGCACGCTGGCCCTGGGTTGTCTGGTGGGACCACACACTCTCAGCTACTTTCCTAGGGCTCGGTGACTGTTGATTTGACTTCCTTTGGGACGGAGTTGGAGTCTCTCTGGTATCTCTCTGCTGCCACCTTTAACCCAGGGCATTGGTGTGCCGGGGCTGCCACGAAAAAAAACCACCACTTAAACCACAGGAACTTACTTCTCCCAGTTCTGGAGGCCGGAAGTCCAAGTTCAAGGTGTCTCAGATTCACTGCCTCTGAGGCCTCTCTCCGTGGCTTGCAGATGGCCATCTTCACAAGGTCTCCCCTCAGTACACATCTGCACCCTGACCTCTGATGAGGACACCGGCCACTGGGCTAGGGCCCACCCACGTGGCCTCATCTTACCTAATCACTCTTTAAAGGCCCTGTCTCCAAACGCAGTCACATTCTGAGGTATTACAAATTGGGGGGAGGGGGGGTGTGGCCAACCAGCGTGGCTCAGTTGGCTGAGCATCGTCCTGGCACCAGGAGGTTGATGGTTCGATTCTCAGTCAGAGCACATACCTGGGTGGTGGGCCTGATCCCCAGGTGGAGGCGTGTAGGAGGCAGCCGATCAATGATTCTCTGTCATCATTCATGTTTCTCTCCCTCTCTCCCTCTCTATTCCTCTCTGAAATCAATAAAAAAAATTTTTTTTAAAAAGAGAAAAATTTTTACTAGTGAAACCTAGCCCTTTGAAAGGCTTCAGAATCCCCTCCAAACCTGGCCTACGGCCTGGACTAGTGGCAGGCGGATGGATCGCAGGATGAGGCAAAGGAGGAGAACGATCAAGCCGGCGGGCCCCCATGCAGTGGCCATGCCTGCCCCCAGAGCACCGTCTGGGCCAGAGTTCCCCTTTAATTCCCCCTTTTTCTGTCTCTCCCGCAGAAACCTGTCGAGTAACCGGCTCACCACACTGTCCTGGCAGCTCTTCCAGACGCTGAGTCTGCGGGAATTGTAAGTCTGGTGTGGGAGGCCCAGCCTGGCGGAGTGGTGGTGGAGGTTGGGTGGGGCGTGTCGCAGCGGAGCCACCCAGGGCTGGGCGCCACCTGAAGGGGCTGCTGGGGGTG